ACTACAGATATAAGGAGGAACAGTGATTGTTTGGCAAACTATGAGAAAACTGATGTCAGCTGGAGAGTCCTTGGAAGGAGATGGGGAGACAGTCAGGAACGAAGTTGTTTGAGCAGGAAATGGCCAGGCAGTGTCAGGCTGCCACAGTTATACCAATTTACTCTCTCACTGGCAGTGGGTAACAGTTCCCCCTTGCTCCATGTCTTTGCCAACAGTTGATATGTTTAATTATTGCCATTTTGGCACTTTTGAAATGGTGTTTTGTTGTGGCATTAATTTTGTATTTCCCTGGTGAAAGTTGAACATCTTTTCATGTGTTTATCTGTCATTTGAGTTTCCTCTTTGATGAAATGTTCAGGTCTTTTGTTTTTTTTCTCTGTTAGGTTGTTTTATTTTTGTACTGACTTATAGGCATTCTTTATATATTTTGGATACTAATCCTTTGTTTATATGTATTGGAAACTCTAGATTTGGTTTTTCTTTTCATGCTCTTTATGAGATATTTTGGCTGAATGAAGTTTACAAGTGTAATATAATTGAGTTTATCATTCTTTTTCTTTTATGATTTGTGCTTTTTGTGTCTTATTCAAGGAATCTGTTTCTACTCTGAGGTCATAAAGATACTCTCCTATTTCAGCTCCTGAAAGTTTTAGAGTGTGCTTTTCACATCCACCTTCTTTTATTCCACCTGGACTTGATGCTGTTGTCAGTGGAGATCCGGTTCATTTTTGTTCTTTATGGCTTAGCGGTTGTTCTTGCTTCACTTACTGGAGAGTCCATCCTTTCCATGCTAACTTGAATGCTCTCACTTATACACTGGTCTGTTTTCAGGCTGTGTTTTCTACCTCTATTTTTTGCAATTTGTCCTTTGGAGCTAATAAAAGGGCCAAGAGATCAGAATTGTGCCTGTCCTCTGCTGTATCGCTGGGGCCTCTGCTGTATCGTTGGGACATGTAATGTGGGTTGAATGAATAAATGGTCTTAGATTATTCTAGTCAATCCTTTGTCAACACAGAAAATCTTAGGAAAATGTTTTTCATTCTGTTTGTTTCTACACTCCCAGTAATGTGGCCACTACTTTGAATCCTATTACATAATTGGACAGCTTTTATTAGAATTTTTTAAAAAATTGAGCCAAATCTGTTCTTCTGAAACATTTACTCACTTTAGGAGGTTAGTGTTGCTCCTGTGTGCAGAATTAAGAACCCTGCTTTTACTTGGATGACAGATCTTTCAGTATTTTTCCTGAGTGTTTTTCTTGCCTGGCTAAGCAGTCCACTTTCTTATGTGCTCATATCATCTGCCTTTACATGTGATTCTTCACTAATTCTATTTGGAAGTAGTTTGACCATGAACTTCTTAAATTTAGCATCCAAAGTGGACACATATGTTTCTTGATTGGGCTACTAATATCATTTAACAAGTGTTACTGGGTGTTCAATGTTGTTTGGGACACAAAAATGAATAAACCGTGGTCTTACCTCTCAAGAATTCATAGTCTAATTGAACTCTAATCAACCAGCTTTCATCTACAGAAGTGCCTGTGGAAAACAAGTGCAATGAGAATAAGAGACAAAAATAATTACTTCTGTGGAGGATCAGAAAAATTTAAGGAAATGATATTTAAGTTGGTCTTTGAGAGATAAATTGGAAGTCTGAAGTAAGGAACAGCATCTAGCTAAAGAAGTAGTGAAAGTAAACACAGGAACTGATGCAATGAAAATAGTGGGGTTAAACACAGGGTATATGAAAGGAGATGGGCAGAATAAATTGGAAAATGATTGGAAGTTTAATTTCAAAGTCATATTGGGGAGATCTTAAAATGCTTGCAGATAAGTGTGGACTTAATGATTCAGGCAGAGAAGTCATCTCAGACTTCTGAGAAGAAGAGTGAAAGAGTTAGACCTGTGATTTGAAAATTGGCAGTAGTATGAAGACTAGATTACAGGTGGAAGCAGCTAGTCAGAAAGTAACCATTAAAGTCAGATACAAAATGATGGCCCAAACTAGTGAAGAAAATGCCCTGATTTCTTTTTAAACCCCTTCTCCACATTAATTTTAAGCCATGTTTTCTCAATCTTGATTCATATACTTGTGGGTCAGCTTCCATTGCTCAGCCTTTTTTTTTAAATAGTAAAATATAGACAACACAGTTCACTATTTTAATAGCTTTAAAATTCAGCAGCATTAGTACATTTACATTGTTTTGCAACCATCATCACTAATTTACCCACAGAACTTTTTCATCTTCCCCAACTGAAAGTTTGTATGCATTAAATAATCTTACCCTGTTCCCCCTCCCTCAGGCCTCGTAAACCACCATTCCCTTTTCTGGCTCTATGAATTTGACTGCCCTAGTTGCCTCAATACAAGAGCAATTATGCAATATTTGTCCTTTTGTAACTAGCTTATTTCACTGAGCTTAATGTCCTCAAGGTTCGTCTGTCTTATATTGTGTGAGAACTTCCTCCATTTTAGGGCTGAATAATATTCCATGGTATGTATGTATATACTACATATTGTTTATCCATTCATCCATTGATGGATGCTTGAGTCACTTCCACCTTTTGGTTATTATGGATATTACTGCTGTGAACATGGGTATAAAGATACCCGTTTGAGTACCTCTTTTCATTTCTTTTGGGTATATACTCAGAAGTGTAATTGCTGAATCATATGGTATTTCTATTTTTAATTTTCTGAGAAACCACCATCCTATTTTCCATAGTGGCCAACTCATTTACATTCTCATCAACAGTGCACAAAGATTCCAGTTTCTCCACATCCTTGTCAACTCTTCTTATATTTTTTCCCAGATGGGTATGAAATGATATCTCTGTGGTTTTGATTTGTATTCCTCTGATGGCTAGTGATGTTGAGTATCTTTTCATGTCCTTATTTGCCATTTGTTAATGGCTATTACTTTCTTTAGAGAAATGTCATTTCAAGTCTTTTGCCAGTTTTTTTAATTGGGTTATTTTTTGTTGTTGTTGAGTTTTAGGAGTCCTCTATATGTTCTAGATATAAATCCCTTGTTAGATACGTGATTTGCAAGTATTTTCCCCAATTCTGGAGTTGCCTTTTTACTTAGTTGATAATTTCTTTTATGCACAAACATTTTTTAATTTTTATGAGGTCCAATTTGTCTCTGTTTTCTTTTGTTACTTGTGCCTTTGGTGTCATAGCAAAAAAAAAAAAAAAAAAAAAAAGCCGTTACCGGACACAATGCCATGAAGCTTTGGCCTGTTTTCTAAGAGTTTCATAATTTTAGCTCCTACCTTTACATATTTGATCCATTTTGAATTAATTTTTGTGTATGGTATTAAGTAAGAGTCCAGCTTCATATTTTTGTATGTGAATACTCATCCAGTTTTCTCAGCACCATCTGTTGAAAAGACTGTCCTTTTCCCCTTTGATCTTGGCACCACTGTCCAAAATCATTTGACCTGATATGCA